ATCCCAGGGTTTCCATTCACTTTAACTATGTGATGGACATATAATGGCATAAGAATAATAAGTCAATTTGTAAAGCATGACAATGAATATATAAATAATGAAAACTGAGCAATGCTTGATTAGTTTCACAAGGTTTTGCACTTTAATTTATTGATCTTTTCTGCAAGTTAGTGGACTTATATGAACCTCAGATCCGTTGGGTAATCTATTATATCTATATTACCAGCGACACTATAAGGAGGAGGAGAAGGACCACCCATGGAAATATGAATGAGTAAACTCAATATGATGGGTATAGGATAAAGCGAGAAATAATAAATAAAATAATAAAAACGAGATAAGCACATGACAAAATCACTAAAACTGCAATTAAAATAAAAAAACATAGTATACACAATTCATAATATGAATAAATATAATAGCAATTATATACTGTAATAGTTATAATAATGCTAGTTTTCGAGTTTACTCTAGCCTTGACTTTTTTGTCAGATTTTATTCCTGATTTAAAATAATACAACATTATTGAAACACAATCTTGACTTATATTTTTGGAGATTTTGGTCCTTACCCTTTCAAAGCTGTATGCCTATTACTTCCATTAGGGCTGTGCTAAAAATCTAATGCGATTTTCATGCGCATCTCGTCAGTAAAGCCGCTCCTGTGATTAGTAGTAAATGGATGGCACAGGACAAGTGTTCAAACCTAAATGGACACTATTAAGTGTGAAAAATAGCAGCTGTCATTTCTCATATGAAAGAGTAAATCACGCTTGTCTTCACAACTGTTAATAGGCTATCAATCAGATTATACTCAGACAGATACGGCATTTACTACACAGAGCCATAGTTCACTGACAAGCTACACAAAATCGCGTTCAAAATCGGCAATGAATTGCCTGCGATTTTGTGTAGCTTGTCAGTGAACTACGGCTCTGTGTAGTAAATGCCGCTCCATCTGAAAGCACGTGCTGGAGATTTACTACTAATCACAGGAGCGGCTTTACTGACGAGATGCGTATGAAAATCACATTCGATTTTTTGCACAGCCCTAACTTCCATATGAAATAACTGCCTGGGGAGGTTACTAAAATGCACTCAAGGGAGTATGATATTACTTTGTGTAGCCATGATGACTTTACCATGTTAATTTCACCTGCAAGGTTAACACTGCTTTGAGTCTAACTCACGATTGCTTTATTACTAGTAATGTAGCTGACACATTCATTATACTCCAGTGTATTCAGTGTAAAGTTAGTGGCAGCTCTTGTAGAATGTGTTGTGTCTGAGTATAATCTGATTGATTGCCTATTAACAGTTGTGAAGACAAGCGTGATTTACTCTTTCATATGAGAAATGACAGCTGCTATTTTTCACACTTAATAGTGTCCATTTAGGTTTGAACACTTGTCCTGTGCCATCCATCCCCACAAAATAAATAAATAAATATATAACAACATCTATTACTTGCCTCTTTTCAGCAATTCAGTTTCACGACTCCCTGACAGTTACATAGGGGGTTTTGCCGCATTGCAAACTAGCATTTTGGAAAATCAAGCTCCAATGTGCAGCCAGCCATGTTTTATTCTCTTATCCCAGGCCACCTCTATTACAGCAGCAAATATTCAGTGATGTGCTGCATTCATTGTCATTGTTTCTCTGTAGATGCATCTTCATATGTGCTACATATCAGTGGCGAGCGGTGACTTTTTTAACCGGGTATGCTGAGTGATAACCCCCCCCCCACCCCCCACCTTATTTGTAAATGAAATTAATCTCCAATCCTTCTTCTATCGTTTCAGGTTTATCCATTGTTATTCGAATGCAAGAAAAATATAGCTGGTTTTCCAAGTAAAAACCGCCAAATATGGTTTACACGTAGTTATGTTATGATACGTAATCAGAGGGTGGGGAGATGGGGGGATTCCTCCGGTCTATATGTCTCTCTGCATCAGCTAAATAATTTTGTTATTCACAGTGAATAGGAGTTAAAACTCCCACCCGGGTGACATAACAGACCATGCAAAATACCCAAAAGTATTTAAAATATTGCAAAGTAACTTTGCAACCTTGCAAACAATAATAAAAATCAGAGAAGGACTTCAACTGTAAGCGACACGAGCATACGCAAAACAATCTGATGTTTTTTATTATTACAATTTTATATAGCCCACGTTTTTATAAACATTTTTTTTAATTTACCGCTTAGGCAGTAACGTTGACAATAATGTATATCTTCAACATATGTTGTCTATGACCAACGATTTTATAAACATTTTTTTTTTATTTACCACTTAGGCAATAACGTTGACAATAACATATATCTTCAACATACGTTGTCTATGACCAAAAATGTAAGTTGTTCAGTGGACTTTTAAAATTTGCATTGCTTGAGGAAAATAAAGTTTTCTTTTGATTCAGTCGAGTTGGTTTTGCATCAAACACAATGTAATTTTCTGCAATCGAGATCTTGGGTGAGCGCTTCGCGAACAGCTTACCTCGCGCATTAAATCTGCCGCAGACCAGCAAATCACTGAGAACGTGCTATAATCCTGACGAGTCATAGCAACAGAGCAGAGGCGAGAAAGCTGCGGAGAATTCGCTCGCCAGGAAGCAACCATAACTGACATAGATTTACAGAAAATTACTGCCGTTTGGCAAAAAAATCATTTTATGTACTTATTCCTAACTCTTTAAGCTTTAAGTTACATTTCAAATGACAAGGGATCAACTTATAATCATGTTTATATGAATTATCCCGTGAACTTATTCTCTCAAATGGCCTGGGTATGCGGAGCA